AAGAGAAAGAAGAAAAAAAGAGGAAAGGTGAGAAAGAGGAGAAACTCATGGAAGAGGAAGAAGAGGAATTCATCATCATTAATCCATCTTATTTTCTCCATTTCAAGGTGAGTTTCATTAGATAGTATAGCTTTGGGAGAGAAGAAAAACATGTTTGGGAATTTACAGTTTTGTGTGAAAATATGTTAAATTGAAGTATGAATGTTGTAATATGACGAACTTCATGCTCTACGCGTCATACCATGTTTATTGGATATTTGAATGTGTATCGGGATTATTAGATGTTCAAGTTTTGGATTGTTTTGCCATGGATGAAATTATTTCACGCTGCTGGAAATCTTGATTTCATAGACCTCGCATATCGAACAAGCAGCGAGCATAACAGTCTGTTATACTTGCACAACGAGCCTACAGTGAGGTGAAGGTGAGACCTCTCCTAGAGGTCCCACAGTGATCACTGAGGGTTTTTTCTACTCCGTCCAAAATCCTCTGTCTCTCCCAGAGCTCGCACGAAAAATTCAAAGTGAGGCGACCTCGCCCAGGGATCGCACAGTGAGCCTGGAAGTTTTGTTCTCTTTTGTTTGTTTACTTGTTTGGCTGATTCTTGTGCATGACTTATGATGCTATGGATTATTTCACATGATTATTGAGAATTGTTATGCATGTTTACCATGAATAATTGGTTGATATATATGATGATAAAATATGTGAAAAGTGAATAAGAATACTTAGTGTTGTGGTGATCACCATGTGAATGGTTTGATATTTGGTGAGGGACCTTTATTCGGAAAGACCTATTTGGTGAGGGGCATGGCTCCGAAAGACATATCTATGTTGATTCTATGTCTTATGTGCATTAATTATGCTTGGCTTAATTGGGTTATTATATGTACCTTATGTGTAATGTATGATGTATACATGGGTATTTTGATTGTGTGATGACATGCTTAAAAGACTATAAGAAAGGTGAGGAAAACCCTTGGTATTAATTAATGGAATAACTAGTAAAGTGATTAGTACATGATGAATAACATAGATGATAATGCTTGTGCAATGATGCCTAGGTGTGTATTATTGGCAAGTAGTTTCCTAGGTATGAGTGAGATGCATTGTATGGAACATGTGATGTTATTTTGTGATTAAGATGAATGTGGTCACCTTGTGATTGTTAAATACAATCACGATTGTGTTTAATTTATCACGTAGTCGGAAACATCCCTTGCTTATGTCGTCTCAAGTCATTATACATATATAGGGTAAGATTGGGATGAAGGCATCGATGATTCGCGTCAACCAAGTAGGTTTGATTCCCATAGTGAAATCGAATGGGTTAAAGTCTCATATGATCAACCAAGTGGGTTAAAGTGCCATATGTTCAACCAAATGGGTTAGAGTCCCATAAGTGCAACCAAGTGGGTTAGAGTCCCAGAGAGAAGTTTTAAATGCTCATGAGAGTCGAAGTATGATACAAGGATCCATGACCTGTGCCGAAAGTCTTAGACGTAGGAGAGGACGGAAAAAGGGATGCCTTGGTACGATTTCCGAGCTAGTGATTGAGTGAGTTGGTAAACTCGTGAGCGTGTTTTCATACATTACGAACTGTGTGAACTCAAGTCTCATCCCTTTTCCTTTTGACTTGAGAAAAAATTGGTTAGAACCTTGTAGAGCCGAGTGAATCTATAATATATTGGAACTCACTGAGATTATCATCTCACCCCATTATTTTTGTTGTTTTTCAGGTATTGTTGTAGGTTTATTTTGCAAGTGGAGCTATGCTTGAGTGTTTCAAAGGAAACCTAGATTATGTTTATTCCGTTGTGTAATGTGTATCTCGTACAATGAAGGATATTATACTTAGATCTTAGTTTTTTTATTGTTTTGGCACTTTCCATATCTTGTACCATAGGTTGTCTTTATGTCTTAGAAATTGTCTAGTATGTAAATTATTCCAATAAGCACTTATGGGGGGTGTCAGTACCAAATAATAACTCTTGTATTATATGATTCTAGATGTATATTATGCAGGGCGTTACAAAAGTAGTGCAAATGATACATGAAGTAGACTCAAAAGATGAATGATCATGAATCATAGGAGAAACGAAAATTTTGTGTTGTGTTATAAGGTTGTGCTAAGGGAAGTAAGTTACTTGTTGAAGAAAGCTTACAAGTTAGTCATACTTATCTTTAGAAATCGTGGAACTATTGCTTGCAAATGAAGTCTCCTCAGTTTCATTAACAGGACCAGTTTTTTCACAATTTTGTCTATATGATGCATTGATAAGAGGCTTATTTTTGTTGAAATTAAGGTGACCATGTTTTTTATAGAAAAATCAATAATTTGGCCACTCATATTACAAAAATTCATTTTCTAGTGGAGTTCTTTAAATGGAGTGACTTATCATTGGAGTCAAGTTTCGGAGATGTATTAACCAATAAAGAATTATCTTCTTGTTGTACGCTGACAAATATATGATTTATTTGCTATTGCATAACCAAAGAGTAAAATTTGTTGATTAGTGGAAAAATATCCATCAATAGCACTTGAGTTTCACAATTGAGACTAGATCGTTGAGACCTCTCAAGAACTGCATAACTTGATCATGCCTAAAATCACAAACACTTTACATAGTCATACATATACACTGGAGAATACACGTATAAGTAGGAAGAGGAAGATGTTCAATGAGTACCTCCTATAAACCTTTCAACTCAATGAGATAATCCATAACAAATTTTGAATATTATTTCAAATTGTTGATTTAAGAATGAAGTGAGAAAATGCAGATTCAATCAGCTTTAGAAAAAATTTCTTTCACATCAGTCCATCATCTATGTCATTATCATGAAATACCATAGTGGATACGATTTTTATAAAATAGAATTAAATAACCAAGAAAGAATCATGTGGTTACATCATTCCCATTGAAAACAATTAAGATTAAGATGTGGTGGAATTTCAATTAAACCATCAACGAATCGGAGCTTGTTCTTCGCACCTAATGCTCTTTACGTAGATTTACTCCTCGCTAGGTAGTTGGATCCATTCAACTTCGGGGTGATTGAAACTGAATTTGGACCTTCACTTGGAAGCATATATTAGATTGAATTTGTGTCAACTTGTTAACCAAGGATCAATGAATAAATCAAAGAGAAAACTGATGAAAAATATATCAAGAACATATTGTTCTTGATGTGAGGCAAATTGGATGATTAACTCAACAGAAAGAGGTGAATGAAGTTGGAATTCTCAAACTGGTATTATATTATGAAAGAGAGGATTTGGATGATAGATTAAGGAACTTCATTGATATGGAATGAAGAATATATGAGATACTAATACAATAAGCTAGTGTCCTCACTATCAACTTTGAACTAGAATTTGTTGTTACTAAACTCATAACTACTTTCTAATTGATATATTAAACTCTAAAACAATAAGTTATTTAGTTATTACAAGTGTGTTATGATTGCTTAAGTTATAATGTATCTTCTTAGTATTGCTTGTATCCAAAGTCACATGTTATTCATCTTATAACATATATGTGCAAATTTTTATCGATGTGTACATTGTTATTTGATATTTCCATGATAGTTTTGAAAGATTGAGTTAGGTATAATGGTAAGAGTTTACCTAGACAAAGTGCATATGTGTTTCTTTGCTTTATCTGAATATACATGACTTTCCTTCCCATTCTTGATAGACTTAAGTTTCATGATGGTGTGAAAAAAGGCTTAAAACTTCTTTTGCAGGTAACATTGACTCCTATACATGGTCCGGATGAAATTAACTTTGGTCATAACCAAACTTTCATTTATCTTTTAGTTTGAGCTAGCCATTGATGTTATATTTTTTTTGTCTAACTCAGATCATTGCAAAAATAAGTTTACATGTAGATATTGTAAACATGAGCTATAAGTAGCAAATAAGCACAAAATAAAGGGGTTAATAATAAGCCCCACCATCAATCAGATATGTGTTCCACTAACTTTAGGGATAGCGAGACACTAAAAATTAAGATATTTCGATGATGGTTAGCATGATTTTTGGATCATGATGACAAAGAGCTTATTTTATATGTATGTACATTGTTGTCTAATAAAATACACAACCAATTTATTAAATTCATATACGATAATAAGAATGTTTTGAGATTTAATTAGAGGACTTAGTAAATATAGTGTATGAAATCTTTGAATATTTTCTTGTTCCTTTTTAATAGCCTAAGTAAGATGAGTAATTCTAAAGGTCTTGTTTGAGAAATAAAAATTATAATTTTGAGAAATTGGGAGAGGTTTGTGTCCTTTCTATATATCCATATTTTTCGAATTGAAAATGATGTGGAAAATAATATATATATATATATATATATATATATATATATATATATATATATATATATATATATATATATATATATATATATATATATATATATATATATATATATATATATATATATATATATATATATATATATATATATATATATATAATGTTGTTTTTGCGTGTTGTATTTTCTTAGTTAATAAATATAACAACAAATAATGGGTAATGATTAGTGAGTTAGAATAAATTTCTTAATTAGAAAGTAAGTGTAACATGTTTACGTCTTGATTTGGTTAATAAGTTCACTTTGCACCGTCCATTTTTATGTTTTATAGAATCTTCTTTTTGAAGAAAGCCTATATATTTTCATGCAGTGGACGGCGCACACAAATCATATAACTTGTGGTTGAAAAAACGTGTTCCCTTTATGTAACATGCACCACAGACCATCCTCAGTCTTCCTTAATTTCAATAAAAAAAATCTAGATTTTTGAACACGTTTTCCATCCCTGGTGCATCTCCCCATTATTATTTGTCACTTCTATTTTAATATTACTTTTCTTAGTAGCTTCTATTATACTCTATTATACCTTTATAAAATAAACGGTCCTCATCCTATTTTTTTCATCTTCTTTTGTCTCTCTTATACTCCCTTTCTTTCTCAATGACAAATATGGGTATGAGTGTAAATCGTGATCAACCTGTCAATGTCGATTTCATGTGGGAAAATCAACCATGGGGTGATCATACAAATTCAGAAAATATAGGTGAGAGTAGCAAACAAAATTTAGATAAGAAATCAATGAATCAGAAAGAAGGTATTAGTGAAGGAGAAGTTCCTGTGAATAGAAAACGAAGTCGAGGGGGAGTTGTGATTAGAACAGAGAATAACATTAAAAATGGGGATGACAATGGTGGAAAGTATCGTAACTCTGATAAGGAGATGCATATATTGACTGAGAGGGAAAGGAGAAAGAAAATGAAGAATATGTTTTCCAACCTTCATGCCTTACTTCCTGAACTGCCTTCTAAGGTAAATTCATTTTCATTTTAAATAGTAATTGCTTTTGTTATAATAGAGTAGTAATACATATTTATTACTTTTTCTTTTTCTACTATTTAAATGATATATATCATTTTCCCAATGATATTATTTAAATGATATGTTTCTTACTTAAAAACAAGTGTTCATTTTGCCATTGAAATTTTAATAATTTTAAAAACAAGTGTTCATTTTGCCATTGAAATTTTAATAATTTTAAAAACAAGTGTTCCTTTTTATAACAAACCTCTCTCTATTTCTCAATATTCTAGATTTTATTTAAATGATATGTAGAATTAATATAAAATTCACTCTTAATTGTTATATTAATCCAACAATTGAGGTTTTCAATCAAAAAAATAATTTACTAAATCTCATTTTTTTTATAAATCTAATGGTTAATGTGTAGTTAGAGGGGCACTAGAGTTATCAAATGATGAGTTCCAAGTTTTTGAGACTTGCAATGTTGTTATCCTTTTTCCTATATTTTATTTTGTTTATGTTCAAAATAGTTTTAAAAAGGCTAATATACTATTTTACTTGAAATGACCAATATAATTGTATTTAAATTATGAAAGTTTGATAGTATTTACATAATTAGGATATACCACGAGCACAAAATTTTGAGACAGCTAAAAGGATTAAGGAGGCTCTTCTATTAATTATTATTTGAAACATCGAAAAAATAATTTTATTTAAAGGAAAATTTTTAAGTTATAACTTTTAATATATAAATGGTTATCTTCTATTAACTTTTTTTATTGTAAAAATACAACATATGAATACATTGTCTATGACAAATAAAGACAATAAAATGATTAGAATTATTTTTCAACTAAATAATATATGCACGTCATAAATTGTTCTAAAGAATCCAAAGTTATGTAATGACCTCAAAATATATCAACCATATTTTACTTACCTTCCGATGAAATTCTAGGTTATTAAGAGCCTTTATCATGAAAATAATCATCCTTGTAAAATTTATGTGTCACAATAGTTTACTTATTACTTAAAATTCTTAATTTGATTTTGATTTTTAGGCTGATAAGTCATCAATTGTGGATGCGGCAGTGAAAGAAATTAGCAATCTAAAACTAGTCGTTGAACAACTAGAAAAAAAGAAGCAAGAAAAGCTCAACCCTGCATCCAATTTTAGGACTGAGTCATCATTTGTAAGGAACTCACAGTGGCATCCCTATGAATCAAGGGAAGCAAATGTAAATGTTCAAGGATCCTCAAGTTATAATAATAACTTTTCTACTCGTGTAATGGAACCTTCACCACAACAAGTAGCTTTTCAAACATGGCCTGCTCAAAATGTTGTCTTGAACATTTGTGGCACTGAAGCTCAATTTTGCATTTGTGCAACTAAGAAGTCATGCTTCTTAACAACAATTGCTTTTATATTGGACAAATATATGATTGATGTTGTATCTGCAACCATTAAGTTCAATGAAAATGGACATTTCTACCTAATTCAGATTCAGGTAAGTTTCAAACTCAATTTTTCCCTTCCTTACCGTTTATATTTGCTAGCATAGTAAATTTTTTAAAATTACGATACTACGATACCAATTACTGACCTATTAAAATAGTTTATAGTTCATTAAAAAGTCAACAAATAAATTAAATTTATTTGTGTTAATTTTACAGGCAAAACAACGTTCACATGATACAAATTCAATGGAGGAAATTTACAAGCAAGCAGCTAGAGAAATTATGACATGGATCGCTTAAAAGTTTTCTTATAAAATTTGTCTTATGATTCTATATGAATTTTATTTTAGTTTTTTCTCCTTCAAAAGACATTTAAAAATGTCAAACTTGTAGGATGGTCTTAAGAGAAAATTGTGTAAAATGTTTATTTTTATGGAATTGTGGTGTTTTTTTATTGTGGTTTTTGAAGTACAAATTATTGTATTTAAACTAGTTTATTTCTGCTTTTGTGTTTGCATTTTCAAATTAATTTATATTTAGTTTTATTTATCTTGATTAATTATATTTTTAAATTAAATAAATAGATAAATATTATTATAATAGTGTGTGTATTATTAATGTAAAAATTTGTCAGGATTTTTATTATTAAATCTAAAAATAAATATGTAATGATATAGATTATTCAATCTCAACATCTTTTAAAAAATAATTTATAGTTTATTCCTCATTCCAAAAACTTATTATATAATTTTACTTTTTGTATGTACACAAGGTTTTGATCACAAAAAAACGGTGATATGGTCTTTATGCCCAATGATTTGATCTTTAAGTCACTTCTTGAATAGTTTTTCTACAAACACTAAGGTGTATCCGAAAAGTTTGAAAGAAAGGAATTAGATAAGGAATGTGTGAGTTAGGAATTAGATGAACCTGTTATAGTGATTGGACTTATGTATGCTCTAGTTACTTATTATCTTTGAAGTGGTTGGACTTATGTATGCTCTAGTTACTTGCTATCTTGAATGAGTTAATTAAAAAGAATGTATACGAATACATATTATGTTTAAGAAAATTGAATTGTAATACCCCATATCATATTGTCTAGAACAAAAATAAGTCGTATTATCTCATTGGCCCTCATACATCAAAAATTTTGAAATACAACATGATTTTAACTACAACTAAACATAACATGAAATATAAATTAATAAGCTAAAGAGACAATATCATCAATCCTTCATAAAATCTTCATATTTCCTTTGATTGACACCTAATCATGTATAAGTAAAAGAAACAACATGGGGTGAGATAAACAATCTCAATGGCATTCTTATTCTTATGGACCGAATAAATGCTCAATTGACCAAGATCCAATTCGTCTCAAGCCCACTATACTCGATCCAAAATATAAAAACAATTAAGATACGCTGAGAAGGTATACAACTCTAATCTTCAATTTCGTTTAACTCTTCTTGAATATTAGACTGACTTGGGTGTTAGAGTGCTAACCATGAAGGTCCACTATGTGCTGCCGTAAAGGAGATCGGAGCCACCATTGAATAACAATATCATCATACTCTAATCACTTATGGTTCCTTCATAAAGTTGAAACACACATTTTTGGTTCCTGAACAGAGAAATGACACTCACTTTGAGAATTGACTTCTGATTCCTTCAATTTCACTGAGAATCAAATTCTCTTTGCAAATAGTGTCAAGCAAACTCAGAAGTTCTAGAATTGGGTTCTTGCAGTCCAAACCCAGATCTCTTATTAACCAGTTCGCAACCTCCATAGGTTGCTAATTCGAGAGTAAATTAATTTTTGATTCGTATGTTCTCGTCAAATTTGGAATCACCTTTCGTTTTCTTTATCCACAACTTTCTAAAATCAAAGTGTCAAGGATGATCAGAAACAAAATCAAGGACCTTTGGCGGATGATTCGACTAGTCATCTTCTAAACCGCGATTTTCCGAAGTCCAAATTTTGGATTCTCTCGAAAAATCATGCAATAGAAGGGAAGAAAGGATTACAAATTCAAGTCTAGGGTAATTCTAGGGTTTGAAGGCTAAATCCATAAAGATCAAGTCTAGTGGCCGCAGCCTAAAGAACGGTGAATTTTGCCTTAAGTTGATACACACGGCTACTGCAGGTCATCTAGCTTCCTCCGACAATGTTCGTTACATCTTCCTGCTTTCTTCCTGCGTTCATGTCTTACCAGGAGTAGTCGCGTTTCCAAGTTACAGCTCTTGGATGAGGACCCGGTCTCCTCCTTGGATCGTACCTAGGCTTAGGCTGGTTTGTAGTTGGTACGGGGCCGGTGTGAAAAACAGGTCTGACCGTAGTGGGAGAAGCATACTTTTATTCACGGTACTGGATGTTTGTCTCTTTTCGGATTTTCTCGGTAGGTTGAAGATAGGCTCAATTACCGAGACATCCTCTTTCTTCTTCTTTCCATATATTTGCAGTATACCTTCATCAATCATTGACTGGATATCTTATTGCACAAGGTTACAACCATGCTGCTTATGATGACAATCATTGCAACTTTCATGGGGACTCTTGATTAGGCTTGCTTTTACCAGCTTTTTGTACTCAATCAATGGAGCCTTGATTTCAGATACTTCGAAAATTACTCTTATGTTGGAATCCTCTTCCACAGTGTGGATGCCACCGTGGTTTGGCAGGGGACGATTCTCCACATTCGGATGATTATCCTCAAAAGAGAGGATTCTTTTTTCAATTAGTTCCCACAAGATGTGTTGGAGTGCTTTGCAGCCCTCGAGATCATGCCCTGCGGCATTTTCTTGAAAAGTGTGGTGTGCGTTCGGATTGTAGTAGTACGGTAGTGGTGTTGGAGGGGGACTCAACTTCCTGATATGGATTATGCCTTTTTGTACTAGTTGAGGGTACAAATTCGTATAGCTCATAAGGATAGGCCGAATTTCCGGCCTTCTGTTTTGGAAAGCGGCCCTCAGAGCCGGTGCTCCTTGTTGTGGGTGTACCTGCTGATTATTGTTCGATCGATAGGCATTGGGCGCCTGCTGCAGAGGGTTCTGTGGATTTAGTCGTGGTTGAAAAACCGGTGTGACTAGAGCCACGTACTGTTGTTGATGATAATTTGTTGAGGTTGCGGACGAGACGACCGTTGACTCTGTGGATGGCTTCTTCTGTTCTGAATTCGTTCATCGTACATTCTGGCGTTTGTTTCCCCTTCCTTTTTCTTGTGGAGATGACCCAGCGGCTTCTTCACTCTGCTAGTGCTAGTTGCACTTGTCACCTTGCCGCTTTTCAATCCGGCTTCTACTTTTACACTGACAGCCACGATATCAGAGAAATTTATTGTGACACTACTGATCATTCTCTCATAGAATTCTAGTTTGACAGTGTCCACAAACCAGTCGGCAAGCTCCTTTTCAGTTAGTGGAGGTTCTACCTGGGAAGCCGTCTCGCGCCACCTTTGCGCATATTCTTTGAAGGTTTCATAGTTTTTCTCGGTTATACTCAGAAGTTGACGTCGGTCTGGCGCTAGGTCCATATTATATTTATATTGTTGGATGAACGCATTAGGCAAGTCTTGAAAACAGTGAATTTTGGATTGATCCAGGATTAAATACCACTTAGTGGAGGCACCTTTCAGAATATCCTGGAAGCAGTGAATCAACAGTTTATCATTTTCGATATGTGGGGCCATTCGTTGGCAACACATTATTAGGTGGACTTTCAGTCAGGTAGCCCCTTCGTATTTCTCAAAGATAGGCATTACGAACTTGGGTGGAAACACCAAGGCTGAAACTAAGCACATGTCTTTTGCGTCAAAACCGAAGACATTATTCCCCTCTATGGCCCTCATCCTTCTGGCCATTATAATTATCTCGACTCACAGCTTCTCATGTTTTTCATCTTCAACTTCGGATCCATCGGGCATGTCGAATATTAGCTGCTGGTGGTTGAAGATCAGTCGAACCTAGGCTTGAGTACAAGCTTGCGTGTATATCGGATTTTGAAAATCTGTCATCAGGGGAACACTCTGTGGGTCCGAATATGGCTGATGGTTGAACGGTTAGGCGTCGCTGAATGGAGGAATGAAATCCATGGTGATACCGAAGGGATGATCCGTCGCTGAAGTTACTGGTGGTGGAGGAACTGTTGTCATTGCATTGATTTCAGACACTACAGTGGCTTGTGTATTCATCTTTGCTCTGATCACTTGAAGAACTTCCATTATTTGGTTGACGTTGCTGCTTAGTCCTTCAATGTCGTTGTCAATCTGATCAAATCTCCGGTCTTGTTCTGCCGTTCTCCTTTGAGCACGGGCTCTTGTGTTATACCGATGGGAGTTCAGTGTGATTCTGGTAGCAACAGGACACAGAATAAGTCGGAGGACCAATGAAATGCAAAATGATATGCAGCATGCAGATGCAAATGCAAACCACACATTCAAGGAACAAACAAGTTTTGTTGACAAACAAAGTTAAATTAACACGTAACGACGTGTCGCTTATTATTGACAAATGAAAGCTTAACAAATTTCATTGATAGCAAAAGGTTTTGCAATATTGAGTTTTCATTAACAAATGAAACTCTTTTTTCGAAAAGAAAGATTACATTCCCATAAGCTTGGGATACACCAAAACGAAATTAAAGCTAATGATCTTCTAACAAGCCGACTCTTCTTCCTCCTGCAACATGGCTCTACTCTGACTCAGACGAAGTAGATCCCAAAGCTCTTCATTTTCTATTCTAACTTTGGCTAGAGCAAACCCCAGCTCCTTTCTAGTCAAGAGTTCATCTAGCTCTAGAGAGATGTCGTATGAATGAGTATAGAGCATCCTCAATGCTATTTCCTTTGACCAAAGTAAATATGCATTTGAAACTAGACAACTGGGATTCTCCACAACTGTCATTCTTTGAATATTGGGGCTACACCAGGAAAAAATGACTCGTGCTTCAAAGTTCGAGTTGTCATTTCTTTTACAAAAGAAATATTTTAGCAACATTGGATCTGGTTCTCCCCCAGTGGGGTATCCTAGCTGACGGCGAGCTAGGATGGGACTGCAGCTGATATACCCTCGAGTGCCGATTAGCAGTATATTAGGGAACTCCCCACAGCTATGTATCATTGATACTCCTCCAAGAGTCGGGTCGTACCAATTGACGTTGTAATGAGAGAGTGATGATAATTTTTCAATCCATGTGTCACTGCCTTGTAGGTTCCATAGCGGGAATGTCCTAGGCAAATGTAAAATAAACCATTTGTTTAGGAGGGTTGTGTAGCAAGAAAACTGTCCAAAATCATATG